AACATGCAAGATTGTTGCATAGGTACACACGTGGCAGTGTGATTTGCTGCCTTCCTCCCCATCACCTACATCTGGCATCTCTCCCCTTGCTCTCTCTCCCCAGCTCCCCACCCCCCACCGTCCCTCCCCTATTTCCCCCCAACTGACCCTAGTGTGTAGTGCTCCCCTCCCTGTGTCCATGTGTTCTCATTGTTCAACACCCACCTATGAGTGAGAACATGCAGTGTTTGATCTTCTGCTCTTCTGTCAGTTTACTGAGAATGATGGTTTCCAGGTTCATCCATGTCCCTACAAAGGACACGAACTCATCATTTTTGATGGCTGCATAATATTCCATGGTGTATATGTGCCACATTTTCCCTGTCCAGTCTATCATTGATGGGCATTTGGGTTGGTTCCAGGTCTTTGCTATTGTAAACAGTGCTGCAATGAACATTCGTGTGCACGTGTCCTTATAGTAGACTGATTTATAATCCTTTGGATATATACCCAGTAATGGGATTGCTGGGTCAAATGGAATTTCTATGTCTAGGTCCTTGAAGAATTGCCACACTGTCTTCCACAATGGTTGAACTAATTTACACTCCCACCAACAGTGTAAAAGTGTTCCTATTTCTCCACATCCTCTCCAGCATCTGTTGTCTCTAGATTTTTTAATGATCGCCATTCTAACTGGCGTGAGATGGTATCTCAATGCAGTTTTGATTTGCATTTCTCTGATGACCAGTGATGATGAGCATTTTTTCATATGTTTGTTGGTTTCATGTATGTTTTCTTTTGTAAAGTATCTGTTCATATCCTTTGCCCACTTTTGAATGGGCTTGTTAGTTTTTTTTCTTGTAAATCTGTTTTAGTTCTTTGTAAATTCTGGATATCAGCCCTTTGTCAGATGGGTAACTGCAAAACTTTTTTCCCCTTCTGTTTGTTGCCGATTCACTCTAATGACTGTTTCTTTTGCCGTGCAGAAGCTGTGGAGTTTGATTAGGTCCCATTTGTCTATTTTGGCTTTTGTTGCCAATGCTTTTGGTGTTTTGGTCATGAATTCCTTGCCTACACCTATGTCCTGAATGGTTTTGCCTAGATTTTCTTCTAGGGTTTTTATGGTGTTAGGTCTTATGTTCAAGTCTTTAATCCATCTGGAGTTAATTTTAGTGTAAGGTGTCAGGAAGGGGCCCAGTTTCTGCTTTCTGCACATGGCTAGCCAGTTTTTCCAATACCATTTATTAAACAGGGAATCCTTTCCCCATTGCTTGCTTTTGTCTGGTTTGTCAAAGATCAGACGGTTGTAGCAACCAGGCAAGAAAAAGAAATAAAGGGCATTCAAATAGGAAAGGAGGAAGTCAAATTGTCTCTATTTGCAGATGACATGATTGTATATCTAGAAGACCCCATTGTCTCAGCCCCAAATCTCCTGAAACTGATAAGCAAGTTCAGCAAAGTCTCAGGATACAAAATCAATGTGCAAAAATCACATGCATTCCTGTACACCAATAACAGACTTAAAGAGAGCCAAATCAAGAACGAACTGCCATTCACAATTGCCACAAAGAGAATAAAATACCTAGGAATACAACTAACAAGGAACGTAAAGGACCTCTTCAAGGAGAACTACAAGCCATGCTCAACAAAATAAGAGAGGACACAAACAGATGGAGAAACATTCCATGTTCATGGTTAGGAAGAATGAATATCGTGAAAATGGCCATACTGCCCAAAGTAATTTACAGATTCAACGCTATCCCCATCAAGCTACCAAAGACCTTCTTCACAGAACTGGAAAAAAACACCTTAAACTTCATATGGAACCAAAAGAGAGCCCGCATAGCCAAGTCAATTCTAAGCAAAAAGAACAAAGCGGGAGGCATCACACTACTGGACTTCAAACTATACTACAAGGCTACAGTAATCAAAACAGCATGGTACTGGCACCAAAACAGAGATATAGACCAATGGAACAGAACAGAGGTCTCGGAATCTTGCTTCTTTATCCAATTTGCCACTCCATGCCTTTTAATTGGGGTATTTTGCCTATTTACAGTCAAGTTTAATATTGATATGTGAGGATTTGATCCTGTCATTTTGTTGTTAACTGTTTATTTTGCAGATTTGCTCATGTGGTTGCTTTGTAGTGTCAATGGTCTCTGTACTTAAGTGTGATTTTGTAGTGGCTGGTAATAACCTATCCTTTCCATATTTAGCACTCCCTTCAGGACCTCTTATAAGGCAGATCTGGCAGTAATAAATTCCCTTAGCATTTGCTTGTCTGAAAAAGATTAATTCTCCTTCACTTATGAAGCTTGGCTGGGTATAAAATTATTGGTTGGAATTTCTTTTATTTAAGAATGCTGAATATAGGCCCCCAATATCTTCTGGCTTATAGGTTTTCCACTGAACGGTCCATTGTTAGTTTGATGAAGTTCCCTTTGTAGATGGCCTGTCCCTTCTCTCCAGCTGCCTTGAAATTTTTTCTTTCATTTCGACCTTGGAGAATCTGATGAATATGTGTCTTGGGGATGGTTACTCAGTCAGACAAAAATAAAGAAAAAGTTTAGCCTGGGCATGATGGCTCATGCCTGTAATCTCAACACTTTGGGAGGATGAGGCAGGAGGATCACCTGAACCTAGGGGTCCAAGACTGGCCTAGGCAAGTTGGTGAGACCTCATCTCAACAGTAACAAAAACTTGGCCAGGCATGGTGGTGTGCACCTGTAGTTCCAGCTATCAATGAATCTCCTGGTTCAGGACCACAGAATACCATAATAGTTGACAATGAGCAATCATTTCCCATTTACCTGAAGACAACATAAAACTCTTTGATTTTAGTATGCCCTCAGAATTAGCTCTACTGATGACTGAGATGAATTTTTCCACCAAACTGCTGAGAAGTGAAATCAGTTAGGATTAACTTCATGCAAGTAACATTGACAAGTTTTCAGAGTTTGAGACACAGGACTAATTGTCTGATGCTGGTGAGTTAGAGCAAACTTTTTCTTCTGATTATTTTTTTAATGTGGAGAACAAAATTCAAAATCCCCATGGTACTACGTTCATTCATCTTTCTTCCAGAGTAAGGGCTATTGACTCCAAGTTTCCTCTGGGTGTCTGCAACTACTGCTGTGTTCACACCTAGTTCAACACCTTCTAACAATGCCTTCTGCACAGGACTGCTGAGCAACTAAGTGGCAAACTGTGCCTGCCACATGTTTAACATTCAATAAATGGGACACACTACCATTTGCCTGCATAACATTGAAAGAAGTAATGCTTATTTCTCATACTGGTTAATGCTAAAGTTCCTCCAATTGTTAAATTATGACAAGTGTTTTAGGAGCCAAATATTTTGTTTATTGGTTGTTGGTATGTTTTGGGCCTTGATTATCTTACTGAAGTTTGCTAAAGGCTTTCTCCTTTCACTGGCAGGTGGCTGGCAGTCTGGAACAAGTATAATTTAGTCAAGAGAATAAACAATTAAATCTATTTCAAAGTGAGTAAGAAACTGAGAATAACAGTCTCTCCACTTTCTAGCGTCATTCATGTTATCAGGATAGGTGTTTAAGTAAATCTATAAATTCTGTGGATATTCAGCCCTAAAGTCCAAGTAGAGTATAGCTGATGTATGGAGAGGAATCTAAGTTATATTACTCAGATATAAGGTTTGGAAGACAATAATTTTTGACCCTTATGTATTCACACTAACTAAATGCAGAATGTAGTCCAACAGCAATAGTATTTTGGTTCCCTGAATTAGAAGAAGTTAACTGATGGGAAAGAGGGAGAAATTTATTGTAGAAATGATGCTTTCTGAGAAATTATCTTATATGTTATAGAATCTGTAATATAACCTTCCTTAAGCATATTACCATATGATCCTTAAAATTTGTGATAACACTGATGATATTACTTAACTTGTTGAATGGGCTAGTTGATGTAAGTTAAGTGTTTAGGACAGTAGCTAATACAAGTTGAACAAATATTAGTTTCTGCTTAGAAGCTGGATCAAAATCTTTCTCTAAAAATTTTCTGAAGCTAAATGTAGCTTATTTGCTACATTTAACAGGATGTTAAAGGATTTGCCTTATGTGTTTTCTGAATATAAACTTTCTGATAAAAGGATTAAAGTTCTTCGTGTGTATGAGTTTAATATAGTTGTTTTTTTTTGAGACAGAGTCTTGCTTAGTGGCATGATCTTGTCTCACTGCAACCTCTGCCTCCTGGGTTCAAGTGATTCTCTTGCCTCAGCCTCCCAAGTAGCTGCATTACAGGTGCCCGCCACCACACCCAGCTAATTTTTGTATTTTTAGTAGAGATGGGGTTTCACCATGTTGGCCAGGCTGGTTTCAAACTCCTGACCTTGTGATCTGCCCACGTGGGCCTCCCAAAGTGCTGGGATTAACAGACGTGAGCCACTATGCCCAACTGTGTTTGATATAGTCTTGAAAATATTTTTTTTTTTTTTTTTGAGACAGAGTTTCACTCTTGTTACCCAGGCTGGAGTGCAATGGTGCG